AAAAATATGTGATATATATGGGGACTATTTTGGTAATATATTATAATTGTTTTATCGTTTCTACATAGTTATGTAATTATCTTATGGATATTCGTTTCCGTGTGGATGCGCACAATTATGTTAATGGTATACAATGCTCTTTCAACATGATAGATAAAACAATAAAAAAATGGAAATTATTTGTAAATCGATACAACTCATATTATTAATAATAAAACTTTAAAGAGGGCGAAGACATATCATATTGTTGGAAAGGCTGGGCCGTGCCACACCTCAAGTACATCATCCCGTTGGTTAAAAAAAAAAATACGTCTTGCCGCAAACCATGTTATGTGCGTAACAAAACTCTGTCCAACCCTTAGTCAACAACATATACATTTTTCCATGTTTTTGACGCGAAGATACCGCAACTTGAAAATGATTTCCCTCCTCGTATCGAATATTGATAGTAGACAATCCTGTCAACCAAGAAGCTTCAACAAAAGCATTCCTTAAAGGCTACATATAAAATTGAATGAAGAAATCATATACAAAATAAAACAATAATTCATTGTTATACTAAAAAACAGACTATGATGAATATACCATTGCATGTAGGTGATACCAATGCAATTATTTTTCAAGAATTCTCTCCATATCTCCAAAACAGATAAAAAAAGTATGTGGAAAAGTTGAAGAATGTTAATGTGTTGAATGTTAATTTATAGTGGAGTTAGGGAATATAATAAAGGTAACAAAAAAAGTAATTAATATAAATTGATGTAATTACCTATTTTATCTAGACTACTTTTAAAATAAACATGTAGGAGAGATAAAATTTAAAAATCAATAATTAGAAATTAATTCATTAATAATATGGGTGAATATGGTAAGTGGGGTTATTTTGAAATTAATAATAATATGTGATATAGGTGGTGGAACATAATTGCATTTCAGTTCCACGATTTTTTTAGTGAAAATATTATAATAAAAAAAATCATTAACCAATAAAAAGATATTATTTTGCCATGTAGGATGGATGGGATTTGAAAATTGGGTTTTTTTGGCAATTAATATAATATTGTACATAAATTTTAATTAAACCAAATTAAGTGGAATGTACATTTATATATTTACGTTTTTAATATGAATCAATTGATTGAAAAAGGAAACTCAATAACCAATAAAAAGACACAATTTTGACATGTAGGAGAGATAAAATTTAAAAATCAATAATGTGAAATTAATTCATTAATAATATGGGTGACTATGGTAAGTTGGGTTATTTTGAAATTAATAATAATATGTGATATATGTGGTGGAACATAATTGCATTTCAATCCCACGATTTTTTAATAAAAATATTATAATAATAAAAAAAACTCATTAACCAATAAAAAGCACTATTTTGCCATATAGGATAGATGAAATTTGAAATTTGGGTTTTTTTGCCAATTAATATAATATTGTGCATACATTTTAATTAAACCAAATTAAGTGGAGAGTACATTTATATATTTACGTTCTTAATATGAAGCAATTGATTGAAAAGGGAAACTCAATAACCAATAAAAAGACATCATTTTGACATGTAGGAGAGATAAAATTTAAAAACCAATAATGTAAAATTAATTCATTAATAATATGGGTGAATATGGTAAGTGGGGTTAATTTGAAATTTATAAAATAATGTGGACTAAATCTCCTCAAGTGGATAACTTTTATTGTGTATCTTAGTTTTATATATAATATAAATGAAACCGAACTCGAGCCAATTAACTTGGCACTCTCTAGTTGAACATACATAGTTGCAATTAATTCAAGGGGTTGAGCCGAACGTACGTGAGAAGGATTCAAAATTAGACATGCAACACTCCCTTCTTTCAGAGTGAAAAAGAAAGAAATGCGAAACCAACATTCTTGAATGATAAACTCACTTAAATCCGATACTTTCATAGAAAAAAATGGCGTAGATATTGGTGAAACCAAAATTCTAGTAATGCTGCAAATGTAAAAATCAACTAGTCAAGTACAAGAGTAATGTTATTATTGTCTCTGGACTCTGTTGCTGCTCTATAATCGTTTACGCCATCAAAATAGCACTAAACATGATCAAGAAAGAAATAGAATTTACTATTCTTATATATACGGTAATATACATACAAATTTTCTTTGAAAAATCGGACTTCATTACTAACGGTAATATGGACGTTAATTCACAATTCAAGATCGATTATTTGATATATAGACCACATATTTAACGAAACGAAAAATAGCCATCGTGCTAATGCATGGTCATCTTACCTATCCGCAGTATGATTTCATACCAAGACAATGCCCAAACAAATTGCAACTCAGTCCATAAAAACGGCATTTCATTACATTACAACTCATCTTGTTTGCTTGATAGTTCCAATTCTGCAAACATACAGAATTTTGGTTAACCAACAACAGTAATGAGTATTAATAGATCATCTAAGGACAGCAGCTTATAACAAGAATCGGACGTTACCTTTCTCGAATATGAGAAACACCTGCAAGAATTTCTGTTACATGCTGCACCTTTGCATATTCCGGTTTTTCCTTGTTTTCCAAAAGTAAGCTCGAAAACCTTAAAAACATTTCTAGTTCGTCTTCAATCCTCTTGAGCTGTTGATCTATGTCTCCCATGAAGTCCTCGTATGAAGTTAACCTTTTCTCACTGGAAAGCTCGTTTTTTGCAAGAGGGTCAACTTGATTCTCGGGAATAATATGCAATTGCTGATCATTTATATTTTCCAGATCAGCATCTGTATTGTTTGAACTTTCCTGCGATGGAGATACAATTCGAACGGGACTAGTTGGTTCTGTCTCACTAACTTCAACATCCAATCCCATATTCTCAATTAGTAGACTTTCTTTCATGGAGATTGCCTAAAACCAAATAGGATCTTCAGTAACAAGGTAACAAGGTTTAGATATTCAGTATGTTCATAACAGAGACAGTAATTTCAGCTGCACGAGAGAGAAAGAATACAAACACCAATCTGCATCTAATCTGAAAACAAAGACCTGACGAGTAATCTACTTGAAGATATATTTGCAACGTCTGTGAATTTCAGCAAACCCTTTTTTTTTTTTTTTTTTTAAGAGAACGACACCCGATGAGGGTGGGGGGTTAGGCTTGACCCCCTACCTGTTTATAAAACAATATTTAAGAAGTACATTATGAGTTTCGCTCAAATTGCTACTGCCCAACATATGGCTAATAATAGCAATTGACAAACAAAAGACAATAGCTAACTAACAAAGCGTTAAGACAATTTCAGCAAACCCTTTGTAATTATTCAACTTGCATAAGGTAGGAAAATCTTTACTAATACTTTAGAGCTAAAAGGCTTCTAACTCATCATCACACGAAACAAATAAATTTGGTCCTTGTAGAAAAAAAAAAGAATAACCATACACATCACAAGACACTGAAAGTTTTACAGAGACTACTAACACGAGACCTTCAAGATTTAAAACCTGTTATAGGGACGCATATTACACAAGAGAGAGAATGGAAAATGGAATATTTTGGCAATGTTGGCTACCTCACTAAAGCAGTAACATCCAACCCTAGCTATCGGGCATCGAGGACACGAACATCGTACCTCTAAAAATTATACATTTTTTCAAATTTCTTTTTGTCCTAAGGTAAAATGATTTATATTCATCCGAAGTGAAAAAAATTGCATGTTCACGTCGATCATCCAATAATCGTATTAGAGAGATGAAAAGTAGCTATACCTCATTCAATTTCGCAGAAAGTTGGTCAAACAATTCGATACGACCCTTCAATTTCTCGAGGGCTTGCATTACCTTCTTCTTTTGAAAAAGCAAATCCCTAGCATCATTTTCTTTTCCAGTTTGAATACTGACCGCCGCTTGTCGTCTAAGCTTCTCAGCCGCTTCAGACAACCGCATGAGTCTCAATCTTGCACTACTGGCTGGAAAGAAAATATTTCCTTAGCAATCCAAATAATTTGGATGAAATTAATTAGTTGTTTTTCACCCTAAACACCTACCTTTAAACTAGACTAGGAAAATGTACCATTCCCCTGAAATTAAGGATTAAACCCTAACCTAGGCAATGAATTACAATTTTAGCATCGAAGTATGATAAACCAATTACACAAATTCATCGCTATTAACAAAGAGATTTCAGTTTTAATCTACCCAAATAATAATTAATACGGATTAGTGAAAGATTTACGAATCACAGATTATACGATTCTTACTGAACCAACCAACATCAAAGTACGCAAAAGAGAGGAAATATACAGTTTCTGGAGATAATAATGAATTGGGGAAGAGTACCTTTGCCTCTAGTGTTGTCGGCCTCCTTTTGAAGATTATCAAGTTGGTGGCGGAGTTGGTCGGCGGTAGCAGGCGGAGAAGCCGAGCATGTTGTCCTCGCGCGTGAAGAAACTCGCCATTGAACAAACACTGCGCCGCAGTTCAATATCATCTGCCTTGCTTTGTTCAAGCCTTAATCACGATAGTTGCAATACGTAGGGGCGGAAATCGGCCCAATGGGATTGTCATTAATTACCATTTCCCAAGAAAAAAACATTTAACTTCCCTTTCAAAAATTGTCAAAAAAGGAAAAAGAAAAAGAAAAAGAAAAAATAAAATAAAAGAAAATAAGAATTTTGGGAACTGAAATGAAAAAAATTGTTCCAAATTAAAAAAAAAAAAAAATCAATCAGAATTGCCGGAATTCGGAACTTTTATTTTCTTTAGTTACATATTATATAACATCATAATAATTGATATTATAGATGGAGTTTCGAAAAAAAATTCAAAATTTTCTGAATTATTATCGAATCGAAAATCGTGATCTAATATGTAATTAAAATCCATACCAAGAAACATCGGAAATCATAAATTTTAGAATTTAAAATAAAAATATTATTCTAAAATAGAACGGATTTTTTTTAATAATGAATGAACCTGCAGCCAATATTATATGTAAAAAATGTGTTGGGAAAATTGGTTAAAAATTGGGTCATAACAATTTTTTATCAACGTTATTGTATGGTCTAATTGATTATATAAGTCAACTTTTGGATTAGATTAGTATAAAACCAATTTTGTGGTGAATAAAAAATTACTAGTCCAAAATAGAAGGAAAGTGGGATTTTGAGTTATCACATATTGGAAAAGTAGAGAAGTACTGAGCTATTTATATATCTCAATGTTGGGACTAAGAGTAAAGGCCTATATGTTATGTGTTTCAAATCGTGCCCACATGCGCGCGCGCCGCTCCTTAGTCGACACAACACATATCTTGGGCTCAACTGGTATGTTTATGTACCTTTTCGCTCCAAAGGACACTACTTTTCAAACCTTATAAATAGACCCCGTTTTTCCCATAATTCCTCACTTCAATCCAAAACAGCCTACTGTATATTTAGCCTACCTATTACAGATTCTCTCTAAAAGTTCTACACAAAGTACAGTTCGTCGTAATTGGGATTTGGAGTGCTCCTATTCCAATTCTTTGCCGTTGCATCTTGGGAGACGATTTCCGTTCAAACTGTTAGACGCGGGGAAATTTCGTCTTAAGAACAGAGTCAACTCGCCTCGGCAAACATTTATTTGTAGCATCTTAAGACGAAATTCAATCTGCAAAATGGCCGAAGGAGACAACGACAACAACAACAACCTGCCGCAAAACCAGAATGTTGTTCCACCAACCCAAGGAGTGCAGCCACCAAATGTTCCCCGTTCCACCCCCAAATGGTGTTGTTCCACCTCCGGTTCTTCCACCAACGTTTCGACCAGCCTCATATGTTGGGAATCGGACACGTGTACGCAGCGGAAAACAAAAATTTTATGCGAATTAAACAAGGTTAAATCACATAATCACATGCCCGACATATATTAAACAATTAATTGCGTACATTTGCGCTTCCAACGAAATTTAAAACAAACATACATGCGAATTATTTAATCGCAATTAAATCAACTAACATGCTCGCATTAAATCAAATAATCATGCTCGCAGTAAATAATCAATTTCATGTAGTCACATAAAATCATACAACATACTTACTAAAACGGACATGCATATTTAATTTAAATAAAAACGAATCGAATGATTACCTCTTGAAGCGTGAGGTAGGCGCACGAATCGAAGCAATATTGCCACGGAAATCAATCCGTGCATCCGGGAGCAGCGGCGACGGGGGCGTGAGCGACGGTGCAACAGACAGCGGCGATGGTCGTGGGGCAGCTCCTCGACTCTTTGATCTTTCTCCTCTCGGATTTCACCTCGTATACTTTGATCTACTAAAACGTGGCACTAGACACGCAGTAGTTAGAATAAACAGAAGAATAAACAAAGAAAATAACTACCATGAATTAATCGGCCAAGGGGAGGCCGATTCCGGCTAGTGGACGGCGACAGCGGCGGTGTTGGCCGCGGGGGGAGATCGGCCGAGAGAGAGAGAGAGCGGCTAGGGTTTCGTGTGTGAGTTGTGTGTTTGTGCAAGACCTATAAATCAAGTATTACGGCGGTGTGAATTGTAACAATTACATTTTCGGAATCATTATAATGTCCTCGTCATTACGAGTGCCGATTCTCAATTTCCAACTTTCTAAAAGTGGAAACCCTAATTCAGTGCACTTTCTAAATTTGGAAACTTCCCGATTTAGAAAGTCCACTAAGATGTTCGCCTATTCTTTTCCTTTTCTTATTCTCATTCATAATTCCAAATTACGAATGTTGGACCCAATCATATTGACTTCCAATCATGCAAAGATAAAACATTTTTACCTTTGACCGTTCATTCAAAGATCTCATGTGCCCGAGCAGTGTGACCCTCGATGGTTCAGGTGTAAGCTAGCCGTGGGCCCACGACCCTTTGTGGTCAAAACTCGTCCCTTAGAGTTACGATTAAGATGAAGCTCGTTTCACCTTAATCACCCAACGAATCAAGATTGGCGTCTAACAACTGCGCGTCATTATTCTTTAGATACAAATGAAGTGCCTGCAAGAACCTTTTGATATAGTTAGCGTACAGTACGATCCATTCGATTTATATGTCCCGATTGAACTAGAGACATTGGTTCATGGAGACCTCCTTAGTAGTTCAATGACGGTGCGATCGTTCTAAGTGTTGTAATCGTTACGTGCATGACTTAGAGAATCGAATTCTCTAATCATCACTTAGTCAGCTCTGGCCAGAGACTTAGAGATTACAAACTACACACAGGACATCCAAGACTATTCTAGCGATCGAATCCCCGACTACAATGCACAGACCTCCCACTAGATTTCGGATTGCACGAACACTGGCCCTTGGGGTGGTCCTTGGTGGAACTCAGGGACAGGTCACGATACAGCTGGTCCTCTAGTGAAGTCACGGTGATGTCTAGGTCATAAGGACTAATGGTGTACAACTATACCATAGATATTTCTACTCGATTATTGAGAACCACTTAGAGATTTATAGGGTGAGGGAGTTCAGTGAAATCGGCAACTTACGAGCACCCACTTATGCATGCCGATATCACAATATCGTTTACTGATGAGATTCAGTACACATACACTAACTGCTAGTCTCTTAATGAGAAAGGCCGATATCCTCATTGGTGGCGTAAACCTTCGACTAGGAACACGTTTAACAGTTATAATACTAAAGTAAATATCTCACGATCCTAACGATCAATTACTAGTACTTGTAATAATTGTAAGGACTATATCTATGCTTGTGACAAAGCGATAAAGATATAGAATGCCAAGGTGTTTTATCATTAATACGAAAAAGGTTTCTTTATTACAATAATAAATGGAAAGACCACAGCCACAAGTTGGCTTGTTGGTCACCTAGTCTAACACCATACCCTCATGTCGTCGCTCATGGAGAAAAAATCGGAGAAGTATCGATTTCAAACGTTGGCAACATAAATTGCTCTTCTACCTCACCACTGTCAACTTGGCTGGATTCGTTACTGAAGCACCTCCCGCTGTGCCTAATGCCGAAGCTATCTTGGAAACAAGAGTTACGTGGGATGCTTGGATCCATTCCGACTTCTTGTGTCGGAACCACATCTTGAATGCTCTAGATGATTCACTGTACAATGTGTATAGTGCTATCAAAACCTCTAAGGAACTGTGGGAGTCCTTAGAAAAGAAGTACAAAACCGAAGATGTCGGGTTGAAGAAATTCATCGTCGGAAAGTTTTTGGACTTCAAAATGGTTGATACTAAGACTCTTATGAGCCAAGTCCAAGAGTTGCAACTCATCATGCATGATATTCATGCCGAAGGAATGAGGTTGAGTTAATCCTTTCAAGTTGCTGCAATGATCGAGAAGCTACCACCGCTTTGGAAGGATTTCAAGAATTATCTCAAGCACAAACGCAAGGAAATGGGGCTTGAAGATCTTATCGTGAGGTTAAGGATTGAAGAAGATAATCGAAAGACCGAGTCCAAAACCGGCAAGCAGCAAATGGAGGCTAAAGCACATCTTATGGAACCAAACATGCATGTTAGCAAGAAAAGGAAGGTTCAAGAAAGTGCTAGTGGCGGTGGAAATGGAAGCAAAAAGGCAAAGGAAAATGGAAGCCAAAGAAGTTCAAGTTCAATGGAACGTGCCAAAATTGCGGCAAGCCGAATCACATGGCAAAAATTTCTAAGTCCTTTGGACCGGATTCCTAACATATACTATGGAAAATGATCCAATTAAGGACCATAAAAGAAGCTTTACCCACTCCCGAAAAGCCACTTTGGAAAGAAGCAATCAATAGTGAAATTGATTCGATTATGCAACATCATACGTGGGTATTGGTTGATCTACCTCCGGGAAATAAGCCGTTAAGCTGTAAATGGATTCTCAAAAGAAAGTACAAAGCCGATGGCTCGATTTATAAATACAAGGCAAGATTAGTAGTCAAAGGATTTAGACAAAAGGAAGGTCTAGATTTCTTTGATACATATTCGCTCGTAACGAGAATCACATCAATTAGAGTACTTCTAGCAATTGTTGCTTTGCACAATCTAGAAATTCACCAAATGGACGTTAAGGCGGTCTTTCTAAATGGTGAATTAGAAGAAGAAATATACATGGAACAACCCGAAGGGTTTGTTGATCATGAACAAGAGTCCAAAGTATGTAAACTTGTGAAGCCACTTTATGGACTAAAACAAGCTCCCAAGAAATGGCATGAAAAATTTGATAGAACAATACTAGCAAATGGGTTTAAAATAAATGGGTGTGATAAATGTGTATATATTAAAAACACACCAAATGAATTTGTGCTTATATGTCTCTATGTGGATGACATGTTAATTATGGGCAGTAATCACGATATAATCGTGAAAACTAAGAAAATGTTATCGACACATTTTGACATGAAAGATATGGGTCTAGCCGATGTAATTTTGGGAGTAACAATTATCAAAAATGACAATGGACTAGTTCTTACTCAATCTCATTATATTGAGAAAGTACTATGAAAGTTTAAAATGTTTGATAGTCCACCTGCTACGACCCCAATCGATTTGAAAATACACTTAGCCAAAAATCGT